CAAGAAGAAGAAGAAGAAGAAGAAGAAGAAGAAGAAGAAGAAGAAGAAGAAGAAGAAGAAGAAGAAGAAGAAGAAGAAGAAGAAAAAGAAGAAGAAAAAGAAGAAGGAAGAAGAAGAAGAAGAAGAAGAAGAAGAAGAAGAAGAATGGGTACTCTGCATATCAGGGTTAACCTGGGCTGAGAGTGAGAGAAGTACAGCAACGATGTACAACATCTCAGCATGGTCTATTTGGTCTACAAACACACAAACAAACACACAGGCACATTTGATTTATACACGTATCCACATAGGCACACACTCACACAAACACACACGCAAATACACCGGCAAGTAAATAAAACCTATTTTATTTATTCTTCGTTTTTGGAGGTGTTTTACGGCGCTCGCAATTCAACTTCATAATTCTGGACTCATGAGCGCACGGGACACATTAAAATTAAACATTTTTAGTTTGGTAGGAATTGATTGTGACCTTAGTCCTCGGTGGCGGCCGAAGCCTGGCCTTATAGATTTTGGACCACTAAGGGATTTTTAACGTGCGCAGCTTGCACACGGGGCCTCTGAGATTTTTTTCGGGTTTGTCCGAGAAGACAAGGTGTTAGATCTCACTTACCCTACCCCCCAGGGCAGTGCCACTGACTGTAGTGTCTTTAGGCCATTCCCAAAGGGGGGACATTTCTCGTTCAAGCACAGTAGAAATGTAGATGGGCTGATTCATGTCACGCCCATAACTGTGCCTGATCTACACCAGGGAACTGCTGCTTTTTCTTTCTTAATCCTTACTATTGTCATTTTCCTCTACTTCTTTTGTATGTTTGTCACTCTCTTGTGACTTACTATTTTCGGAGTGCCTTGATAATCGAAGCAGACCTCGTGCTGTTGAAGCTGGAGAGGTGAGCATAATAAGTCTGATTCCCTGTAAAGACTTCTCTGTTAACACCCACCCCTTGGCGCTCATGTGACCTAATGCAGTTGCGAGCGCCGTAAAACCCTCTACTATAATTATTTTTAAAAATCACTTACCCTACCCTAAGACAAGGGGTGTTGCTGAAAGACAGCAGTGAGCAGACAAGGAGTAGCAGTAAGAAAGGCTGCAGAAAAGAGTCAGGATTCCAGAGGATGGGGGCAAAGATCAACGAGGTGGAAGGAGGGGGGGGGAGGCACAAAGTGGAGACGAAAGTCAGACAACAGAACACGATTAACACAAGTACTGAAAGTGAAAGGAGAACATTCTTCAGACATTTTCCGTCGCTGTCAGTTTTCGAACCCTTGCCTCTTGACCACCAGAGCCCCCATAGAACCTTTGACTTACACACACGTAGTTCACATACAGAGAGAGAGAAAGAGAGAGAGAGAGAGAGAGAGAGAGAGAGAGAGAGAGAGAGTGAGAGTGAGAGTGAGTGAGAGAGAGAGA